GAGGTTTCAGCTGTGTTTCGTGGTGCCTGCATGCTGCTCTTAACATACCTCCTGCTACGGCACGGCGTGTGATCTGCTCCTTGGACCTCAGCAAGGGAAGGTGGGAGAAGCTGTTCGCTCTTGTGTAAGCTTTTCTTGACTACAGGGATGAGGGGAGAAGCAGTTTCTGTGTAACTGCTTACCCATGTGGGTGGTTATAAAGTGGGGAAAGGGCAGTGCAACTCTTCTCTTCCCCCTTTCCTACTGACTGCTGGAAAAACACCTTGCACTAGGTTTATGGGGCAGTTTTCCAAGTAGGGCGGGGAGCAGAACAGCATTTTCAAATCAGACAGCATTTTCTTATCCTTTGAATTTTATTCCTGTCTCTTGTTCACGGCTCTGACCATGGTGCCTGTAAAAAGCAGAACAGCGAAGAAGTGCCTTTATGCCGAGCAGCACTGTACCTTTGTTCTGTTGACTCATCTAGTTGATCGATACTATATGTATTCCTGAGGAAAACCTCTGTTTTGTTTCTGTGCTGCCTGGGACAATGATGTCTTAGTCTATGGATAGGTTTCCTACAGGCTGCAGTAGTTCATGTAAAAAATAATCATTAACTGCTATGGTGCTTGTAGTGGGTTACTGCGGATGGGTCTGTGACACTGTGTGCTTTTGGAGGAGACACGGCTATGGAAAAGACGCAATGTAACATTTTTTTTCAGATTGCAATACAAATTGGGACTAGCCAGATGAACACTTAAGTGATTGAAAGGCTGTCCATTCTTCTCTCTCACCTCATATACAATGTGATGGTGCCTGGAAGTCATTCCCCGATCTCTTTGAAATAACGTTTTTGAGTTGACATAACGCTTTATGGGTAGGTGAATGGACTGGCCTATAATGCGTGACCATGACTGCAATAGTGATTTTGGAAGTGATTGTTGCCTGTTACTGAGCTCTTCCACCCGTGTGCTCCTCCGCTACAGTGGGATGGGTCACAGTCTAATATATCGAAAGCTTCTGATAGCTTATCTGTTATTAACATGGGAAGAAGTGTGAAAGTAATGTCGTTGGCAAAACAGAAATGATTACTTTCTGATAAATACCACATTACTGTATCAGAGCATATGAATATGCTAAAATGCTAGCATATGTGAATATGCTAAAAGATTACTGTACACTTGTATATGAGTGAGTTTAATACTCAGAAAAGGCCACGCAGCCATTACAAACCCAGCTAAACTGGAATTCAAACTCGTGCTGTAAGTTCATGCTCTCAAGATACACAAATCAAAATATGATAAACCGGATGATCATCTCTTGGTGAACTTAAAAAAATTTTTCCAAATACTTAGCTGAAAAATTCAGAGAACAAGCCATTAAGTGTTCATGTAATTAATAAAAAATAAGTCTGAGACAGCTGTATAGCAAAGAGAACAAAAAAATCGGTCTCTCAGGCAAAACAGATTGTGTGAAACAGTTGAAATGTTCAGGTTACGAATGGGCTTCACAGAAGAGACACCCAATAGCTCATGTTCCTTGTTGCTCTCACAGCATGGCATTGCAGTCATTTTATTCTCGTGCTATCGCGGTAATGATTACAGAACAGGAACAGATAAATAATGATGTGAGAGGGAACAGTTACCTGATTTGACACCTTTTCTAATAAAACCGCACACAAAACAATCAGATACTAAAAAGTACAAAATGAAATACTTTGTGCTTTCCCTGCCTGATTAGCCATTTTTTAAGAAAAATGGTAGAAAAGGTTCTAGATGTGTAAACTTCTTTGAGAAAGTACTACTTCGAGAAAGTACTACTTGCTGTGATAACTAATCTAGCTGTGATAGACAGGACTTTACAGAATCACAGAATCACAGAATCGTTTAGGTTGGATGGGACCTCTGGAGATCGTCTAGTCCAACCTCCCTGTTCAAGCAGGGTCACCTAGAGCATATTGCCCAGGATCACATCCAGATGGGTTTTGAATATCTCCAGGGAAGGAGGCTCCACCACCTCTCTGGGCAACCTGTTCCAATGCTCAGTCACCCTCACAGTGAAGAAGTTTTTCCTCAGGTTCAGATGGAACTGCCTGTGGTTCAGAAGGGCCCACTGAAAATAATGTGATGGTGCCTTTTAATGTCAGGAGGGTTTAGATGAGACTTACAGTACAAATCTAAATAGCCTTGCTGATTTTAATGGATCTGCGTTGCCTTGCAGCTTCTGAGGATTCAGTCAACAATTCTTATAAGCTTTACCACGTGGGAACAAATAAACTTTGCAGGTAGAGGAAATTCATGTACATAAGCACAGTTGTTTCTTTTTTTAAATGCTAGCTGTGTGTTACAGGTGTGCAGCAGATTCACACAGAGGCAGGCAGCACACACTGCTATAGCGTGCAGGCTCCTAATGGCAGCGTAAACGCAGGCGATGACCCCCAAAGCCTTCCACGAAGGGCAAAGGCATCAAGCTCAGTGTCAGCAAAAACCTGTTTTGGGGTGCTTCCATTCTGCTTGCCTAAAGTCCTTAAAAGTTGGACTGGAAATAGTTCTAAATAATTCTTTAAATGTTTGTCCTGGGTTCCTGAGTAGTTTTTCTGTGAGTTTTTAAATAGCTGTGTTTTCTGCAAGGATCACTGCGTTTGTGCATGGATAAATCTGATTAAGTCCTCTGTTCCTGAAGCCCATAGTGAGGCTGCCTTTAATCACAGCTGGAGCAGATTTTGACCCACATATGCGTGTTTATTAAAAGCAAAACAAAACTTTTCAGGTTAATGAAGCTATTAAATACCTAATTTTAATTACAAAGACCTATGTTAGTAGAGGAATATGTCTATGAATCCTGCAGAGATCTATTGATATAACCTTCTAAAAATTATTGTAGAAGACTATATAACAATAGGGAAAGCAAA